CCTAGGTCTGTCTCATGTTTGCAATAAAACTTTTCAAACCCCTTAAAAAAAAAGAGATCTCAAACTTGTGATGGTGGAGGCCAAGTTAAGTCACAATATGCATCAACTTGTTGGGCTTCACTGATTGGTGCCCTTCAGTCTCTTTGCTACTTCAGTTGCGTAAAATGAGCACTTTGCCTTCCTGGCTTGAGTCTATAGCTTGTTATGTCTGGTAGAAAGGCTGTGTTGGTAATAGTAGGGCAGCCCTGGTAGTCTTTTAACCCCAAGGAGGGATTGATGCTGCAGATTAGAGTGAAAGACCAAGGATCCCGGCTCCCTTTCCCGAGTCTTCCTGAATCAAAAGATGCCTGAGGGCATCTGGAAACTGTGGCCACAGACAGGGTAGGTGACAGCAAGTTATCAGTGACCTTTGTAAAATCTTACTGGAGCACAAATACAGAGCAATATGAATAAAAGCACATGCAGTCTATATGCGTGTATGTCATTGGAGATGGAGAAATGTCTGTGCAGTACTAAGGCTTTAGCCGAATTAATCAAACTCTGGTGTGTGGAGCTGGAGCACCTCTGCAGCTATCCTGCAGTGTGCATGTAACAGACACAAAACCCATGACTGCATCTGTTGTCCAAGTAGGGCATCTACAACCTGAACTACTGTAACAGCCTACCGCATATGGTTGATGGATAATGGTTCAGGTGGTAAAACACTCGCTATCTGTATGTCATTTGTGTGTTTGCCTCACCTATTGTGCAGTTATTTCTGTATATGTAAAGAAGTACTGATTAACAGCAGATCAGTTGTAGTATTGCCATTTACTTGTAATGAGCAGTTTAAAAACACTGTTCTTAAAAGATTTCTTATTAACTCTACATTGTCCCAGGTCCTTGAGTGGATATCAATGTATTTAACAATCAGGCACCTCATATCATCTGTGTCACGTCCAGGGCAAGATCAATACCACCTTAAGCAAAATGGGTTTTTCACAGTCACATAAACGTGCACACACAGACACCAAAACGTGTGTATACACTCAGGAGATCTGTAAACATTATCTCATATATCTGTAACAGATACATCTCCAGCATCTATTATCTTGGTCAATTTCTCTTTCTCACACACACACACACAGAGAGGACAAATCAAAAACATATCATGTCTATTTCTTTCAGTCTTTTTCACATTTTCCTTCAGTCTGACAGTGGACAGACACAACCAGACAGACACCAACACACACAAACTAAAGCCCTCTCTCTCACAGACACTCAGTCTCACAAACACAGAAAATCGAAATCACAAATCGGCTTAACTCTCCCTGACACGTCTGTGAATTAAGCCTTTCCGTTGCTCTCCCTTTCCCATTATAAAGGCATTGTCAGAGGCTGAATCTGTATCAGGTAGCCCACAGCTCCCTCTGCTTCCTTCTCTCTCCTCTCTTTCTCTTGCCTTCCCTCTTCTCACCTTCTCTTTTTCTTCCTCTTTCTTTGTCTTCTCTTGTTTTCTTCTCGTGTCCCTCAGCCTTTCTCTATGATTCTTCCTCCCTCCCTCACCCCCTTTGTTTCTCTTTGCTCCTCTGTCTTCCTCATGACCTCCATCAGGACTCTCCTCAATTGTTTCTCTCCTGTCCTCACACAGCTTTGCTGTCTCTCTACTTCTTCTCTCTCTCCCTTTTTTTTTCTTGCCTAGGGGTGGCACTTCACTACATTTCACAGGGAATGATTTTACTTTGACAGCTGTACTTAATAGTTATTTGCCATTTCAACATTTACATACAGTACAAAGCATATGATCAGTTTATAAAATATGATACATAATTATCCAGTAAACTACCAGGCAGCATATAGAGTAATTAAATGTGTCCCACCAGCAGCTGTAACATGAAAATACTACTTACACATAAACACATCAGCAATAAAAATCCAATAATATATCATAACAAAGTAATTAGAGGGGCCTTTCTGCTGGCATATTAAACACTGAGACTTAATTAATGCTGATCATGTTGTCATACTTCTGTTCAAGTAATCTTTAAATTCAAGACTTTTATTTGATACTGTTGTAGGTAGAGGATCTGGATTGGGTTGACCTGGTTTTCTGTTAAACCACCACTACGTTTGTATCCTTCCTAAGCTCTTAGTGTGGTGTTCAGTCGGAAAAGAACATACACGCTAAGAGTTGCTTTAGGAGTTGTAAAATTGTTTTAGAACATAGTCTGGGAGGAGGCAACAATATAGTCATATTTTTTTCCATTATATATTTATTGAGTTTTATAATTTTTCATTTAACAACAACAACCAAAAAAAAAAAAAAAAAAAAAAGACAAAAAACAGCCATATACCATAACATATATTACTGTTTAGCTCAGCTCTAAGAAAAACAAAAGGTATTCATGACATCTTCTAGGGGTACATCCATCAATACAATATAGACATTATAATAATGTTGCTAATTGTTTAATTTGTTTTATTTGTATAGAGTATTATACATACACAAAGAAATATGTGTTGCAGGGATAGTAATGTTTGTGGAGTTTAGAATGAGAGGGAAATATTTTTTTTGTCTAAACAGTATATTTTTAATTTAGTCATTTAACAGAAGGTTTTGTAGTTTGACATCATGTTAAATCTTGCCTGTTTAGCTCATTGTTAAACAACATTTTGATGAAGTGTCAGGTCAGATGTTTGGGTTTCCATGAAGTCAGAAGTTGTCAAATTTAGGGTACATGTTGGGGACTTCTGTGAGCCACAGTAAATACAGCACCACATGCACAGCACTGCTTTTGTGTGAGAAAATGTTTTATGTTGATCTGTGTTGGTGTTGACCTCACTCAAGCTTAAGTACCTGAACTCTTGAGTCCTGGTTCTCCTTTCAACATCCACTTAGAAGGAGATGGAAAAATTCATCTTTTCACTCTACAAAAGAATTTGTTTGTGTGGTCGAAGCTGTTCTAATTTAATAATGCAGAAATATTTGCTTAGTAAACACATTATACTGAGGCTAAGTTTGATCATACGCTGCTAAGGTCTGATGGGACTGGAGTACTTCCTCCACTGATCTCAGCAGTTCACCCAGTTTCTTTCCTTTTGGGTTGAGGTGTAACTTTGGGAGGGATCACATGAAGCCTGAATATCGAGTGCGAAGGGGAGGGAGATAGATGAGGAGGGAGGAGCGAGAGAGTTGACTGACTGTGTTGTGAATGCAGAGAGTAGACAAGCAGAGAGGTTCTGACAGGCTACGGCTGTACAGGTTGTTCTTTAGGCCCACACAGTGTCACCAGCGGGGTGTGCACATGCACGCTCGCAAACTTACACCATCAGATGTACACACGCATGCACGCTGTCAGTCTCTTTCGCTCACGCACTGTTACACACGGTATGATGCTCGCTTACCCACAAACAGACACGCTAAGAGAACAGATACACAATGTGCAAGCCAAGCAGCAGACTTGGTTTTTAGACACGCTAAGAGAACAGATACACAAAGTGCAAGCCAAGCAGCAGACTTGGTTTTGAATGCGTTCCTCCTGAGGCTTCTGTGCTGGGGAGCTATCATGATGAGGGATGAAAGAGCAACAGTGGTTTCATCACTCTCCCTCATGTTCTGCTTCACCGTGAAAAAGAAGCTTCTAGCGTTCTTGTTCGCCTCGTAGGGCAACAGTGCCGTGCATCATGCCATGAGGGGAGGCTTGAGAGCAAGTGAAGTGAGAGACAGGGAGGATGGGATAGAGAATATGCATCCTTTATTAGCAATCAATGAACTACACAAACTGACATTGTTGATACATCAGCAGCAGATATTGACCAGTTTCATGGACTAAAGACAACAATGTGTACTGATCTGGAAAATTTCTGCTGTTTTTGCTGTTTATCGACACTGTTCTTTCCTTCTTCTTCTTCTCTGGCAGCACTGGCCTTCTGTCACCTTTGCCTGGACCCCTCTTTTTATTGCTTTTAAGTTTTTATTGATTCTGTTGATTCTTCCCCAACCTCAGTTTTGACCTCCAGTCTACTTTCCCTTTATTGTCATCTTTTCTAGCAACAACTCCCTACTTTGTCTGGTTTAATCCTTACTCTCACATCCTGTTCTCTTTTCTCTACACTGTTATTTATATTGACTTTCACATTTTACATCCTTACTTTTTGTTTCCTCCTTTCACTTCAGCTTCTCATCTTCTTTTCCCTTGTTCCACCAGGGTGCAGTGATCACGCCAGCCATGGACCACACTATGTCCATGCAGCCTGCCAGCATGATGGGCCCTCTCACCCAGCAGATGAACCATCTGTCCCTGGGCACTACAGGAAGTGTGAGTACTACATGCTGTGCTACAGTGAACCACGCACATTAGACAAACACCCAAACATACGCCTGATTAGTTACCATAATCCAAATGATAGGATGTCCAAACTAATTTGTTTATGCTATTCATTTTGTTATCTGATACTTTTTCATAGTTTGACATTTTCCAGCTTCTGTCTTTGCTGTTATTCCTTTTTGTCACACCAAAACATGTAAAAGTCTGCATCTACTCTTAAGAGTTGATGTATGGTGCAGGTCCAAGTGGAGGCCTTCTGTCTTTGGGGACCATGGTTTATTTAGTTCCAAAACAAGGTACACATTGAGAAGGAGATGGCTTTTATATTTTCTTTCAAGAAAACCAAACCTTCTCAGGCTGTCACCACATGTGCTCTTCAACAGAGCTGTCGTATCATTTGTTGTACACTGCATGCATTCGCTGGCAGACACTGAGAGAACATATTTCCTCCCTGATCTTCCCCATTAAACTGATTTCCTGTGAAGCTCTACTGTGTGACAGGGCTCTCTGTTCCCCGCCTTCCTCATGTTCACCCTCTGATTTCTGGTGCTTTCTCACACTTTATGTCTCCCTTGCTCTCTAAATCACACATCAAATCTACTACTCCACTGGTTTTTCTTTATTCCACACACACTAGCACATAGTTTCCGCCCCCTAAACCAGGAACCCCCCCCCATTTCAGGATCCAGTCGACTTAGAGATGTCACACAGTGCTGAGGCCTGACTTCCTGCCCTAACCCTGCTGCCTGGGGGCAGGTCAGCAGGCAGCTTTGCTCCAGCACTACGTTTTGATCTCTGTGTGTGTGATTGAAACAGTACTGTACTGTACAGTTACCCATGTGTTTTCAGGTGAGTTGTCGACGACTGCAACGCCACGTTGGCTCTGTCAGGAATGTCATCTTTGAGGATGACTACTGAAGTTTGATGGGTTGTTATGGAAGAAAGTGGTTTGAGACACTGTGTTTCTCATTTGCTCTCTCTGGCCCGCCTCGTTCTGCCTATTTAGCTTTCCTGAGGTGATGTGCTGTGTAGCATACTGTATGCCTGAGCTGCACAAACAGCACGCCACACTTGGGAATTGAGACATGTTTCCTATAAAACTGATTCTTAAGCCAGATGTGAAGGTCCTTTCCTACTGCCTGATTGAGAAGTGTCTTAAAAAGGGTTAGGGACCAGGATCTTTAAGTGTCTGTATAATAAACTGGACTTGACACCGCACACTCTGAGAGCACATTACTCAAGAACACACATGCGCTGAAGTTATTTTAATTGCCCCTACTGGTCATGTGACTTAACCTTCACCACAGAATACCACCTGCCATGTGCAGTGTCTCCAGAGTGAACAACTTGTCAACAGCTGAATTTCCCTCTGGATCAGTAAAGTATCTATTTATCTGTCCATCTATTTAGCTTCTCACAACTGGCTGCTGAAGAAGCCACACCCCAGAATGCCCCTGGCTGTTTGTGTACAGCTGTGGCTTTCTTCTCCTCTCCAAGTCAAGAACCAAATGTTCCTGGTCCACCCAAGCTGCAATGTTGCTGTGGTGACCATAGCTTTCCAAGAAGGCACTGTGTTATTTTGCACTGTGGAGAGCGTGGATCAGCGCAGAAAGTTAAGCCTGTTAAAGTGGGCTGCCAAGGAAAACCTCACCTCATAATGAGGAAGGCTGGACCGGGGCTGTGTGAAGATTCAAGATTTTATTTGGTCATTGCTTTGGGAGTTTAGCTGCTTCACCAGAAAATATTCTGTTTTGAACAACTCCTGTAGTCACCCAGCTCAGTTTGGTGTCTGTCTGTCTTGAACAACTTGATTACAGAATGCTAAAAAACCTCAGGCTCAGTGTTTATGGATGGCCCACATAAACATGCCATCCACGCACTACACTGATTTATTTTACTGTTTGGTACATATTTCTCTGTTCCTGATTTATTTACCATCTTACAGCTCACACCACTTAACAGGAGCCTATCTGTCACGCCTTGTCTTTGCTTGTACCTGTTAGTTACTGTGCATGTGTGGACGTGCACATGCTTCGTTTGTCATTTTAGTATTTATGCCTGTGCACACTTGTCAGTGTCTGTGTTTATGTGTGAATGACATAGTGTATGACATGACAAGAGGTGACCTTCTCTCTGTGTTCTCCATCCTACTGCTGTCATGCCATGTAGAACTCAGGTCTCTGTTGTCATGGTGACAGTGGTGATTGACAGCTTCTGTGTCCCTGGAAGACACATTTGTGTGAAGTGCTTTTCTCTATTATCTGGGCTGTTTGCCTTGGTTTTCTGTTGGGAAGTAGAGCATGTTATTCTGCATTTCCGTAACTGTGCACAATTATAGTTAACCTTTACTCACCTGTGGAAGTTGACTGAGCATGCATTCTCCTTTCTTGTAGCTCTGCATTCTAACAGAAGCATGTTGACATCTGGGTGCTTCACGGCACAACTGGGCATTTAGTAAAGCAGTAACAATGGCTTTGTTTATGATTTTTTGTTTTACAAAGCATTTTATGTAAGAATTATGGTGCAAGAACTGACCGTTGTTGAATGTTTTGTTCCTCTGATACTGATATCGGTGCTTTAAGTTTAAAATACGTCTTGTGAAATCAGAACTTAGTTGCTGATTGTAGTCCATGTTGTATTATTAATCTAATTATGAAAAGGAACTGGTAACCAAAGTTATCAAATGCAGTGGAGTAAAAAGTATAATATTTAACTATGAAATGTAGTGAAGTTGAAGTCTGAAGTAACATAAAATACTCAAAGTACAGACACCTCAAAATTATACTTAAGTACAATACTTGAGTAAATGTGCTTGGCCAATTTCCACAACTACATCACACTGTTTACTGCATTATTTCCTAGGGCATACTTTGTATTTTTTCTTTACAACAGTCAGTATTTTTAAATAACCAATAAATCTAATTACTTTGAGTAATGCGTCTCTTTTAGTAAGAACCTGCAGACAATTATCACCTGACTATGTAGTTCCTCTCAGCTCTACAGAGCTTTTTAGCGACTTTCCACTCATTATTTTGATTTTATGGTCTGCAATATTATTGTTTTGGTTCTGTCATACCATTCTCAGTATGGTTTGCAGCAGTAGTGGACATTACCTTTAACAAAAATGGTGATAAACTGGCCCACACCTTACATCAGTAGTCATCAGAGCCCATCCAGACACTGCTGTGCCATTAATAACCTACACTGAGTAGCTGGATGCTTTTACCCTGACCTCCACCTCGCAGACGATGCAACAGAATAGCACGTCAACACAGAGGTGACAGATAGATGTGGAGACTCAGAGGCAGATGGAGAGGTGGATGATTTAGATGAACATTTAAACTTATGTTTCACCACTGCCAGAACTACGGTACAATTTATAGAGAAATTCTTGTTGATGTGAAAAACTGATTGCAGGAAGTAGACTGTCCCAGCATTCTTGCACCCACCAAACATAAATTGCAGTGTCTTATACTTCACTGTGTTGCAAAGGCCCAGATCACTGTGGTATCAGAGGGGTCGTGTCTATGCTTTGGACTTTGGACGTGGCATTGCTGCATTGCGGTCTGACTTCTTACTGTAGTTATAAGTGTATGTTATAGAAAGCGATGGTAGAGAAGACACTTACAGAGTCTACTCACACCAGCCTCGTTAAGGAGCTATTCAGGACTCCTGTTCATCAAACATACGCACACACCATCTGCTTCAGGTGCAGGTGTGTCTGTGTGCGTGCATGTGTATAGATGTAAATGTATGGCTATGTCTGTGCAACAGCAAGAGTAAAACACCATTTATTGCCAATTAGGGATGCTTTATATTACCCAAACCTGTCCCCCTGATCGCGGACAGGGAAGTATTAAGAGTTGAAATTGGACAAAAATCGTCTTTATCACCATAGCAACCCAATTCGCTGTAGCCAGGCTTGACATGCCCTCACTTGCCAGAGCAGCGACTGCAGAAATATGCCCTGCTCCCCCTGCCACATTAAATAGGTTAACTAATGGTTATGGTAGAGGAAGAAAATCTTATCTTATTAAATTTTCTTGTTAAATCTAATTTAAATTCCTTTTGCAGTCCTGCAGAGAAATATAACATTTCAAATGGACATTTTCCCTTTGACAGGGAGATTTTGATATTGCTAATTAGCTCCTGCTTCCCTTCATTTGCTTTCATGCAGCCCTCACAGGTGACTTAGCTGAATAAGTTAATGGGAAGAAGAAGAGAAGACAAAATGTCCAGAGGAAAATTGGTATGCATGGTTTTGATTCACTGGGGAGAAGGTCACTTCAACCGTCTTTTAGACAATAGCAGGTTGGGGGGGGGTGACAGGAAGGTGAGAGGAAAGAAGGGATGACATAGAGATGTAATGTGCTAATGTGTCAGGAAGTCTGGATAAGTTGCCTCACCCTGTCCTGAGCGTGACAGCACTGAAGGTGTGATAACCTTAACACACCGACCCACACAGTCGCACTCATATACAAACACATACCAACATCTATCCCAGGACATCCTCCTGGCTATGTGTAGCGATGGCAGGGGAGTTAATCACCCATGTCCATGGCCTTTAGCTGCTCTCATTAGCGGTGAGCGGTGGAGACGTACCCGATCCATTAGCGACGCTGCCGGTAATGACACTTCACCAGCACCGTCGGGCCCGCAGCCAAGAAAGGCTTGGGCACAGCCCCTCCATTACTGCCTCTTAGTGCATACTGCCGCCACGCTTTTTAGCACTAGCAGGGGAACTGAGAGGTGAAGGAAAAAATGAGACAGAAAGCAAGGGATTTTTTTCTCGGCCCGGAAAAGCAGCAGGACGACAAGGAGAGGCAGCCTGGTGGCTTTTATCTGGGATCACATCCGTTGGCGCTGTGCTGCAGCATTATCACTCCAAGCCTCTTTGTCTTTGTCTGCCTCTCACAGACACACACAGACATGCGTGTATATTCCCCAGCTGCACACAGGAGAACACAGTTGGATGGATAAATTGTGATGTCATTTTTGTATGCACAGACGTGCTAATTAAAAAGAACGCTGGTGTGCACCATACACACACACACACACACACACACACACACACACACACACCATGCATTGATAGCAAGTCCCAGAGCCTCGCACATACAAAGTGCCATGGCCTCATTCATATTACATGTGAAAGCCCCGTGGCTGTCATGTAACCGAACCTATGTCACAGTTGTATAATGGCCAACATGGAGTGAGCTAGTGCCCAGTTAAAAGCCAAGGCAGGCATGCCTAAAGGAATATAGGCCACAGGCAACAGGCCTCCTGCTTTCTCTTTCCTCTCTCACGCACTCTTGTTCATTCCCGTTAGCTTATTTTTTTATCTTCTTCTCAACTATGGCCTGGTGCATTTGCTGCCTGTGAGGTCTTGGTGGAACAGCAGGACATCTCTTCTTCCCCCTCCTCCCCTGTCTACCCCACATAATGATCTGCTCTGCTCTGTGGAGCCTGCACACATATTCTTTTAGCGCCCTCCAAAGGATGCTTATGGAACAGCAAGTTCCCAGTCCCAACGATTTCGGGGATAATTGCACTGAATGAGACTTTGTGGGAGTTATGAGATCAGTGTTTGAAAAAAGCATTTCTTGCCTGATATTGAAAGGGAAACGCTATTCTAATGTGTGTAGCAGTAATTTTCATGTGCAAGGATTTTCATATGTGTGTCCTTTGTATTTCAGTACATGACTGCTGCAGCCGCCGCGGCGCCTATGCAAGGGACCTACATTCCCCAGTACACTCCTGTGCCTCCAACAGCCGTCCCTGTCGAAGTAAGACCCACACGCATGCACACGATACTTAGCAGTGATCAAAAATCTGTTGATGTTTATCCAAAGCGGGACATCATTACAGCTGACAGCACAGTCACTTACACGCCACAAGACCAAAACATTCATGTCATTAAATAGACAGATTACATTTGAAGTCCTCTGTAAATTGCTCGTCCTCTCTCCAAACAAATGGCCTTGCACCACCAGTGAATAACAGGGATAAAAACTGCGAGCAAAGCAAAATGAGACAGAAGTTTTACAGTACTTGGGAAAGACATTTGAAGTGCAGCATAGACTTTGTCACTTCTTTAGCGGATCTCTGAGCTCCCGGCAGGTCCAGCCTGAGAAATGATGAACATGAAGAGCGGGTGGGCAAGCAGGCTGGCAGAGGAGAGGAGAGCGGGCTGGCTGTCTGGTGGCTGACAGCGCGGTCGTATTCAGATGGACTATCAGTCGTGTATCAGATGACAGGAGCTGAAGTGAGACACAGTGCCAGTGGTGCTCTCTCTCTCTCTCGTTCACTCTCTCTCCCCTACACAGCCGGTTTGGGCTGGTAGGTAGCTGGAACACACATCCGTCTGCCGCAGAGCTCTGCTTAGCCCACAAGCCACAGACATGACAGGTTCCTCTGACAGACCCATTAGTCGCTCCTCCCAGACTCCCTCTCCTCAGAAAGTTGCCATCTTCCTCATGAAGGAGTGGGACAGAGGAGAGAGATGTAGTTGTAATGTAGCCCATGGCGGCTCTTACCTATTTCATTCTCACGGTTGTCCTCTCACTGCTGGCGTCAGCAGCAGGGTGGATATCCACCTGTCGTGAGGGATGATGTATGGACAGGACGCGGTATCCTTGAGAGCTTGTTAAAGGTGATTGAGATGAGTCAGTGATGGGGGCTGTCTGTAATGCTAGATGCATCACAAGGCTAAGAGGTTGGTGTGATGAATTCAGTGCACACAGCCATCCTTAAAGTGTTTTTTACTTCCAACATAGATTTAAAAATTGGTGAGTAACATAGAACATTTTATACTAAAGGTTTTTTTCAAGGATCATATTGTATATTTAAGAAATACACATAACTCCCTATGCAATGTCAAATCACTGTAAAGTGTTCATTCTTGTCTGCACAGCATGGTCTTGGCTGATGGAGCCTTCTCAGGTACAGACATTAATAATCACAGTTTAGGTTGGTAGAATTTCAGTCGTGTTCTACATAAGATACCCTTTATACTTGGACCTTAAAAAAAAACTCCACGTAAAAAAAACTCACAAAATACCTCAGGAAGAGCAATAGAGATGCAGTAGTACAAATGTATGCGCAGAGCTGACAGAAGTAGAATTTTACATGATACGGTCACACACTTTCCAGCAGGACGTACTGTACTGAGCACTGTCGAGATGCTTGTTAAAGTCTGGGGCTGACACATTTCTTCCTGCATGTGTGTCCTCAGGGAGTGGTGACGGACGCCTCCCCCCAGACAGTGGCTCCCTCGTCACAGGAGGTGGCTGGCCAGCAGCAACAGATCCAGGTGGGCAGCGCTGCCGACCACGTGTCTGCTTACTCATACCAGTCCAAGTAAGTCAGACTGTGTTAACATTTTGGAAATGGCACATTCTCCTTTCAGGCTAGTGTTTTATTTTGACACTATATCCTGTGAGAAGATGTACACACTGTACACATGTTTGCCGTCAGAGATTTTTGTCCATGTACCACTGCATTTAACATCTCTGTTAGTGTTATGTCCTGTCAGGCTTTATGGCCATGTTGGTTATTAAACATTTGAAGCATTGATGCAGCGAAGCATCCAAAAACAGACATGCCAGTCTGGTTATTTTATTCATTAAAAATCTGATATAAAAACAAAAGTTATATATGAGCTTAGATAGTTAGATAGACCTAACTTGTATACACAAACGGTCTGTCTGTGCAATATTTTGTGAAATGAGGAGCATCATCCTACATGACCCAGATTTGTGAAACATTTTTCAAATTACAAAGGCACTCAAATTGCACAGTATTCACCGTCCTTACTGCTGATCCTAAAATGAAACAAAATTAAAGCACTAAGAGATGACGTGCAATTATACAATGACATCTCTTGTCATGTTGGCAGCACGTTTTATTTTGGATCTGATCAGAACTCTGCATTTTGCTTGAGTCTTCTGACTGCACTGTCAGCTGTCAGCTCTATTCCTCTTCTGTTTTTTTAATATTGTGCTTTGATTACAACTTCACATACACACACACACACACACACAACTTTCTCTCTCTCATTTTCTCTTTGTTTTGTCCTCTTTCATCAGATAGCAAAGGCCTGAGCGAATGTTCCTGTGACAGTGTTGCCTTGAGACAGAAGGTTGCTGCACTGTGAATGTGAGGAAAGAGAAAAAAAGAAATTGCTTCCAGATTGCCCAGGCACCAAAAACGAGACACTTTTTTCATTTCCTACCTGGCCTACAACAAAAAAAAAGAAAAAGGCAAGAAGGCGGCAAAGAGTGCTGAGGAAGGGGATGGGGAAATTGCTGGACACAGTGCAAAGAAATGAAATTGTTTAGTCTGGGAACCTGCCTGAAGGGCTGGGATGAAGCTTGAAAAGTTTCTCAAAGAAAATAACCAATTAAAAAAAAAGAAAAAAGAAAAATACAAATAAAAAAATAAGGTTGAATGTGCAGGTAGGTGATGAAATTTATTTTGTAATTAGAAAAGAGGAGTCAAGTTTGAGATACACACAGAGATTGTCTTCCTCAGATATTAAGCTACAGTTTCTTTTCACTCTTTTTTATGTTCTAGTGTTAAATTTTAGTTTTCTAGATATATTTGAAAACAAAGTGTTTTTTCTTTCTTGAATCTTCATGGCCTTAATTTGAAAGGCGCCAGAAACCTTTTACAGAGTTAAACTCTGACGTCTAGTAGGAAGAAAAACAAACAGAATCAGTTTCTTGGACCACTCGGAGGGTACAAGACTCTGGGCGAGTTGTACTAAAGAGGAAAAAAAGAATCTATCACATAAGCTGTACAGATTTAATAGAGAAAAGCTTTTTTCTTTTCTTCGTTAGAAGAAAACTTTGATAATTATTATGTCAGAGGTAACTAAGTGTCCGAAGAAAACAAAAAGACTCATGGGCGGGGTGAAAAGAAGCTATGAAGAGATTTTTCACAGTGAGGAAAAAAGAAAAACATAAGAAAACACACTGCATTGTGAATGCAGTCTGTTGCAAATGCTGAACTTGTTTTTTATTATCATAATTATTATTTTACATGGCAAAGTTGCTGTCACTGACATTAGTGCTTTTTATCTGCCACATTTTACCTTTTTTATGAGCTTTAAGATGTTTTTAGCCCGCTTTGCTTGTCACACTGCAAAAAGAAAAAAGCAAGAAGAAAAAAAAATTATAAAACAAACAAAAAAGAAAAAAAAATCTGGCAGTGAAATAAAAACAGCAGATTCAGTAGGAGCTTACAGTTTAAACCAATCAGTGCAAAAGCAATAGAAGAAATTGTTGACAATTTCTGTAGTCTTTCCTAGTTGTGGATCAAATGCAGCCCGTGGATGGCCATTTTTATACCAAAGATGAAGAGACACTCTGAACCAGAGTTTTGTTTTGTTTTTCCTTTTCATTTTTTCAGTTTGATTTTTGTTGTTATTGATGTTGATGTTGTTCTTGATGTTATTGTTGTTGTTGTTGCTGTTGCTGTTGTCGTTGTTTTTTTTTTTAATTTGACCTTGATGGCCGGACCAGTCCTTACTATCCTTCTTAACGTCTTCTTTTCACCGGGTTTAAGCTAAATTGCCACGGTTGCCCACGCTGTCACACACACACAGACACACACACACACACACACACACACATCTAACCATGCACACACTTACAAACTCCTATACACATACATCAAACAGTATGTAAATGTTTAATGCAACCAGTGGCGCTTGTAACAAAAGTCCTTTTTCTTTAACTCCTCTTCTTGTCTTTTCGTTTCTTTATCTGTCTCATCACTTTTATGATGCTTTCGCACAGTGTGGATTCCACTTCACTCCCTCTCTTTGTCTCTCTTCAGATCATGCAGAGAAAACTTTAGGAAACAGTTGGGGAATGTTGCTTGCTACGCTCTGTGGTCATTGCTTATTGAATTTCTGTCCTCAATCTCTGTATCTTTTTGATTCAGCCATAACTAAATCAGTCATTTCTCAGCATACTGAGCTTCATTGTTGAACTGAGATTCCCCCTGCTGCTGTTTGACCTCATTTTAATCTGTTGTCTAGATGCCACCAAACCTGGGTCACTTTTTTTTTTGTTGAGTATTTATCTGTGCAGATTAGCAGATGGGTGGGGTTTGCTGCCTGTTCTGTAACTGACTTTAAAGTCTTTAGCAATGATTGCATAAACTTTATACCACTTGCTAACTATCTGGCAGTCAGAGCATCTTAAACTTATACCACTTGCTAACTGTGAACTATCTGGCAGTCAGAGCATCTTAAAACAAAAGCAAAGCTCTGCATTTTTGGAAATACACTCATTTGCTTTCTTCCCAAAATAAGGAGATGAATATCACTCTTACATGGAGATGGTAAATATTAAACTCCAGCCAGCAGCTGATTAGCTGGACATAGCACAAAGGTGGAGCATAGGAGGAAACAGCTAACCTGGGTGTGTCCATTTCATCTTCCAACACCTGTAAAGCTCACTAATTGACACATATCTGGTTTGTTTAATCTGTACAAAAAACTGTGTATAAATGACTTTTTGTGCTTTTACGAGGGGCCGCATGCTGGATTATTTCATCTTTGCTAGACAACCAGCAGACACTCCAGGAAATTATTGTGGGGAAATGTCACACTGTCCTTTAAAAAACACATTTGAACAGAAGCAAAACTCACAGAGAGGACGTCTGTAAACCAGGAAACTTTGGTTTGTAAGATCTTGTGTCATCGCTCTGTGACGGTAACAAGCCGTCTAAGAGCTGCGTTTAAAGGCTAGAAAAGGACTCTCTGTCTCTGATCGTTTGGCGAATACAAGCAGGGGAGGTCAGCACACCTGTGGGAACTAACTGGATTCCTCACCAGCCATAACAAGATCTTGATGGCAGGTCCTTTCTCAACCCCACCACTGAGTTTCAGTTACACCCCTGGTTGTCCCAATTTGTTGCACAAACAACCCTGTCTCGTCTCATCCCGTCTTTCCATCCTAGAGCTCTATGAGATTTTCAATGACTTCATCTCCAAGGACTGTCCCTGAAGAAATTGCCTGTGGGACAGCAGTTGTTTCTGCCCCTATTACAGCAGCCTGTGTGTGTTGGGAGTGCTGTGTATCTGCTCTGGTCACTTATGCCCACCCACTCTGCCCCAACTGTGGTGCTATTGCACTAAAAAGACCCCTTTGCTCCCTGCTTCACTGGCACCTCTAATGTGCCATGGACAAACCAGGCTCCTTTGCTCTCATTTTTCCTTGCTGTCACTCTCTCTGTCTTCCACTCTCTCTCTCTCTCTCTCTCTCTCTGAGCTTTCTTGTCTTTATTGGATGGTGCAGAAGCAGAACCACAAACCAATTTCAGTCACTCTTGCAATGAGGCTTGACTGGCCCAATTTGTCTCCCTACGGGGCAATAGGATCCACTCCAGTGTCCTTCGAAAGACTCCTTTCTTCCAGACATAGAGGGAGTTTTTTGTTTGGTGACAATTGCAATTGAGCCCTTGCAGTTCATGTGACCCATTCAAATACAAGTCCGGGACTGCATCTGGGGGCATGATGGTGTTTTGTGCATATTACCGGCAAGCTACACCATCATGCATGATAATATTTGAAACAGTCAAATTCTACATTAAGTACCTTTTATTGAAACTCCCAGATGATTCCATATTGTCAGTGTTATCATTAAAAAGCAAAGCACATGGGAGAGCTTGTTAAAGAAGCTGTGCTAAACAAATGTTACACAATATTGAAGCTACTCTATGGTGCTAAAGAACAAGCTGTGTGGGGCTTGTGCCTTTATTGTGTTTACTGATCTCTGGGACAGATCTGTCCACTGTCGATCATCTGGCCATGAAGTCGCTCTTAACAGGCCACCTGTCCACTTCAGGGCACACAAAAGAAACAGGCGCACAGGTTCCTGAGGTGAACTATGTTTATTAAAGCCATATATGCATTTCTTTTTCTGCCACCCTGAAAATACCTGTTGTACATTATTGTCTTCCATTTACCAACAAGGTCAAAAGCTGAATCTGTCATTCAAACTTTCTCTCAGTCAAATCGGCACTGCTCTTTTCCATTCATCTCATCTTCCATTCAGCGTCTGCCTTCACTTCCCTCAAGGCTATGATCTACTCTTATGTCCCAGTGAATAAGTCTCTGTCACATTACAATTGTTACTGACTGAGAAATGTTGGGTTTTAGAGCTCCCTGGACATGCCCACACCGCTTTATGTGTTCATCACTGTTGCCTGAACTCAGTGTTTCTCAATCATTTTAAGCGTCCTGGTTACACAATAGAACTCCTCCACTGTAACCTAACCAGTTTTAAGCTATTATGTGAGTGTAAGACAGGATGGTGAACACAGCACAGCTATAACCACCTTCTCTAGACTTTTACAGCAGCTGTTTTATAGAGTACTGAAGACATTTTTGAAGCTTAATAGAACTCATAATGCAGGAGTTGCACATCGAAGAGCAGAGCATCCTACAAATAGCCTAAGATTCAGTAGTAATGGTATTATGGGAAATTGGAATACAAATAGCCAAGAGATTGTGGGGAAAAAATGCACAACAAAACTATTTGCTAATGGAGATTTAAGAAAAAAAAGGATGTTAAGGCAGGTGTTTGCTTTTGGTGCATGGTATCAGTATTTCAGAGAGATCTGAAAGATTACCTGACTGAGCAAATAGAAATGGCTTTTTCTTAATGGCACAATGGCATAATGTATTTTCTCAGAATACCAATACCTTCATGGAAGTTTACAGAAGGCATGTCTGCAATTTTAAGGAGGCTGTGGCATAAACACACTGCTCCCAGTCAGCCCATGTGTCAGCACAATCCAGGAGCCAGCTATACTTAGAGAGAAGTGTGTGTGTGTGTGTGTGTGTATTAAGACAGAGGAGGCTCCTGTTACTGTGCAGAAATGGTCATTGCCTGGAGTTTCTCTGTCTTTGTGCAGCAGTATGTCTGTTAAGGTTTAGTCCCCCTCACCAGGAGGGTGAGGGAGAACTGGGGTTGGACTCAAGATGGCTGACCCAGGTGCTAGTACAAAAAAGGTGGTTTAATGGAATAAAAACAACATAACAGGGTCCATAATACATACAACAAGGGAAGGGCAGTGATGACTAAGGAGACCAGGACGGTAAACACACGAACTAACGACAGGAACTAGGATAGCAAAGGATGAGAACGGACAGGTGAACAAAAAGAACCAACGTACACAATGTAATCCACAGCACAGAGACTGTCAGCGTGGAAGACAAAGCACGTATTTCTGTATTGCTAACCGCATAATTAGCGTGATAAGGTCAAGCCAAAACGCACAGAGACTGTCAGCGTAGCATCTTACACACGTCTTTTAAATAAATAAATAAAAAAAATACGGGTCAAACACAACCTTTGTATAACTTACTTTAAGTATAGTACGTTACATGTCGCAATGCTCCGACCACGGGGCGTCTGCCAGAGGTATAAATAAGGAAGCCAACAAATCACCG